TGCTGCTGCCAGGAGTCAAATGGAGCACCAGTTCCAGCCCTACCTAAAATGGAAGGATCTGGCAATAGTGACTCATGCCCTTACTATCACATGACTGAACTACTACAATGTGCACTACTTGGGGCTGCCTTTGAAGACCACTTGGATATTGCAGTTGGTGCATGTATACCTGTATAGATGCTCGTTAAATATGCTTATGCTGGTACACAATTTTGAAAAAAATAACTCCATTTGATTCCATAACACATTTGTTGTCACAACATCGTGCTTAACTAATAGCTTCCAGTTCTTCTTGACTTCTAACTTCTTTCAACTGTAGAAATAGATTTTTTTCCTCTGAGTCTCAAATGAATAATTCAGTTAGGATTTGGTGCTGCTCTAATTAGCTGCTTTAATCTAGCAGAATTTGCCTTAGCAATTAACATTCATTTTTGCTACTGTTCTTTAAAGAATGTCCAATATAAAAAGACTGAAATTTTTCTTTCTTGCAGGCAGGGGCCTGAACTTTTCTCACTCTCTGCGGATCCAAAAAATACTCTCCAAGGCTTGCAAACACTCTTCAAGTGCTGCCTGAGTTACTTCTCTTTGAATCTCCAGAAATTTCTAAAGTAGCCCCGACAAATTCTGTCCTATTTTCTTCCTCTTCTCTTGGTGGAATAATCCCAGAGTTTGTTCTTAACTCCTAGTAGTTTGCTATATTCAGTTTTGGAAGTAATCTTTTCCTGCAAGAACAAGCATTTTGCTAGAGGAGCTTCTCAGCCTCTTTAGAACTTACCACTCTTTTCAGCATTAGACTAGTATAAGGATCACTGTAGCAAGTAACAGCTGTAGATATTTTATTGTGTTTATTGTAAGTTGCCTAGAATCATGAGAATAGGCTGTGACATACTGTACATATAAGTTAACTTTCTGAGGAGAACCATCAGTATCAGCTTAAATTTCTGTATTTTTAAATTGAGAATCTGTCATCCACTGTCCAGCAAAGGTGTACAAAGCCAATTTCGTATTTTAATAGTGATAAATGATGTTGGTCCAGTTTTGTGAAATATTACAAAGAACTGTTGGATCAAATATTCTGCCTATAACTTTTACTTTCCAGACTTCAGTAACAGAGTCCAATACATAATTTTATTGATCCAGAACCAATTCTGCTTGCATTTGGCCCACTCCTTATCTCTACCCTAATTAATTAAAAACCTTCATTGCTATTTCAATTATCAGAATAAAGAGATAGTATAGATAATCCCAGTATATGTAATTTATGTAACACAAATTGTGTAGTTCCCATAATAGAACTTCTGGATTTTTTTTCTTTTTCTGCAATATAAATACATAAGCAATTTAAACACAACAAAAATTATTGGATTAACTCTATAAATGAAATGAATATGCACATATTCAAAGTAACAAGAAATAATACTTGAAGAAGAAAGGGTTGTTACTGGGGGGGATAAAGATTTAAAGACCAAGGGATAACTATTTTCCAGAATGTGTTGGAACCTATTCCATGGTTACTGTTGTGGGTAATGAATGTCAATCACTATTTTTTTCCTTCTTTGTCCGTAATGGACTTTTAATTATTTTCCGTTCTTAATACACTTTGTTTGTATTGGTACGAAAACAAAAATATTATAACGGACATAGAAGAGAGAACTCTAGTTGATAATTTCATTTTGTTCATAACTGTTAGCCTCCAAGTAAATTCCAGTTTAACATGAATGTACTCAACACAAACAGAAAATACAAATATAAAATTGAACAACAGAGTTGGAAAAATGCTTTTACAAATATAAAAAAAACAGATATGTATTTAGTCTCAGGCTGTTTCACATATAAAGGTGTGATAGCACCAAGCTGAATGTGAGATGTGCATATATTTAAAGTGTAGTTTGAAATGATGTGATATGGATATTATATGTAATGCTTTTTATGATTATTGTCCACAACAAAAATTACTTAATGAGTTAATTACAGAGTGCTTAATTCCATGGGATGGGAAGTTGACTGAAATAAAGTTTATATATGTGTATTTATACATCTGTATTCATCAGTCTGCAAGAAGAGAATTTTAGAGAAAAGAATTATATTCTCAAGTTATAACACATTTAAAGCAAGAAATATATAACTGCAGCAAAGCTTTTGGACCATTAATTTTGTTACTATTATTATTATTAATTAAAAATTTGTTTTTATAACATTTACTCCAGATTTTAATTAAGTAAATTGTTCATAATTGTTCAAAGGATATTTATTGAGTAAAATGTGTAGAAGAATAAAAACTTACCATCATCATTTTGAAAAATGTGATTAGAAAAGTCAAATTCTACCATGAAATCATGAGGTGCATGGCAAAATTTTGATGGAGTTAGGATCTATTAGACTGTTATCCAGCAATGAAGCTGTATTATTCATAGTAGCAGAGAAGACAATAAAAAAAACAACACACTTACAAAGGCATAAGCTTCAAAGTATTTTAAGAAGCCCACATACTGAGAACTGTGATGAAGATAATTCTGCATATCTGTCCATTCCTGCTAAATGAACAGTACTCATAAAAACTTAAGCAAAACAAGCCAAGAACAATATACAAACCACTTTCTTCATTTGAGCCTCAATATTATAATTTTCAGTGCATACTGAATGAGTTGCTTCTGACTTTGCTAATTCTGGAAGAGGCTTTCGGCCTCACTAGTACTGTACTCTACTCATTATAAAGTACATTTAAAAACATTTCCTTCCCCACTTAAGAAACAGATGTGTTTCCAAATCAATTACAGTGCAATTAATTTCCTATGTTATCCAATTTAGCAAACCAGTTAAAGGCAGAAAGCATTCAATTCCAAGAAAAAATTATTCTAAACTCCAAATCAAGAAGTTGACTCTTTGATATTAAAATTTTGTAAATTGCTAAGGAATGGCATATAATACATTACATATATTCTTTCATGGATAAAAGATTGGTTTTTCAACTAGAATCCTACAATTATCCCGACAGTAATTCAGAATGTAAATATCTGATTTGAAACTTGATTTCATTTGAAGAATGAAACAAAAGCCTCTAAAAATTATGGACTGTACTTAATTAGAAATGTTGATATTCCTTCAGCTCAAAGGATTATTGGTATACAATATATTAAAAAAAGCAGTATAATTACTTGCAGAAGCACTTCCAAAATATCCAGTTAATTAATTCCCTAATCTTCCAACATAGCAATGCAAAGATAATCAATTAAAAATTATAATAGAGAATTTGAAAATGAGTTAAAAATGAGTGTAAGAACTTTTACATTGTTAGAAAGGTAAGATATAAAAAAAATGATAGCAACAGCTCTCCCACATAAGCTATCTCTGAGGACAACCAATTCTGAATGACTCTGACTACTCAAAGTGCTACTTGTAGAAAAAGAAAGAAAAAAAGAGGAAGTTCTAAAAGCATGAAAGGAATCATACATGGTGACCCAATGGAATATGATTACAGACTTCCAGCAGGCCATTCAGCAGTTTATATTACTGTACTGAAACAGCAACTGCTCCATTCTAATATGCAGTAAATTTCCTGATAGTAGTGCTATCCCACCACAAGATCCAGATGTGGAAAGAAAGTAGAAAGATCTTTCCTTCAAATATAATAGTTTCCAAATAATACAACCCTGATTAAAGTATGATTTGGAGTGGGCAAGAATAATCTGTCTACTTGTGTATGCTGAGTTATCCATTGCCAAGGTAGGCTATTGTTAATGTGCCCACCTATGTGTATCATAGAAAAAATTCTAGTTCAAATGATCAGGACTCTCGTAGCATCTTTGCGACTAACAAATTTTATTAAAAGTCATAAGCTTTTGTGAGCTGCAGGTCACTTCATCAGATGCATAGAACATCTTCATCAGAGGCACTTAGCATAAAGCTTATGCCTTTTAATGATTTTTTTAGTCAGAAAAGATGCTGCCAGACTCCTGAATTTTTGTCACCACAGACCAGGGTTTCCCAAACTGTGAGGTGTACCTCCCTTGGGGAAGTGCAGACAGAGTCCAGTGGAAGTGTGAAAAACCTTTTAGTTACATTGTTACAATAAATCCATCTTTCCCAAAGTTTCATTGTATTGTTTTCATTGTCCATTTGTGTTCATTGTGGTGTTTAGATTTTTAGGGGAGATGTGTACAGTAAGATTATACTAAAGGGAGTTGTGATGGCAAAAAGTTTAGGAACCTTTGCGATAGACTAGCATGGCTCTCCCCCTACAATGTTTAGTTCAAATGACTAGTTGTGTGTATGCAAGGCTGCAAAAGTTCATTTTACTTATCTGATTTCACAGGTGAGCAAGCATTCTGCCTAAGGCTTTTGTCTTGTTATTGCAACCATTGCTAGAAAAGTCTCATGACAGCCAAATGTCCTGTCACAGTAATGAAGAGGATAGTAATGTTGATGCTAGTAAAAGCTTGATGGCAGAGCTCTAGTCTGCATCCTTATTTTGCAGCCAACTATGATAAAGGGAATTTGCAAAAACCATGTTTTGTTTTTAATGAAAATGAAGCATTAAAGATTGTAAAATTACATTTGTTCACTTTGTAGTATTGAGATGATAGGGTTTAGTTTAGATTAGAACCCCAGTAGAGATATAAGACTGGCTGTTGACACAAAATGTTAATAGAGAAATATCCACTTTGATAAATAAAACTGCTAAATAAAAGATTTGAGGGTTTGAAATTGAATATATCATGCACAGAACATCTTTATAACTAAATCAACATTATGAAAATTGTGGAACTTCACAATTAAAATATCACCAAGTATGTTGTGTCCTATCATTTTCATTTTACATCTGTTTAATTAAATACGAGAAAGTAAACAGTTTTTTTCCCACTGTGGCAAAAAATAGCAGTTTTCAATAGCAGAATTTTATAGATGTGAGAAGCATGATTATATTAAATATTGCAAAATAAATGCACAAAATAAACTTTTGGATTGAACAAGAGATTTTTTTTAATAACTTTAGAGCTAGTTGCTATTTCATCCACTGGTGGGTTTTATTTAGCACCAATAAGACTGTAATTCTAATATTGCAAGGCAATCATAAAAATGTCTAATTCATAATTGCTGTGAGATGAAGATTCAAAAATAGCTTACCAATATTAAAAGTCACTGTGTGGCATAAAATTATGCAAATGAATATGGTTTTGCAGTCTTCTAACATTCTATACTGTATTCAGATATATCAACAACTTCCAATTATACATATTTAATAAAACTGGATAATGTCATGTAAATAAATGCATTTCAGTAGCCGCTGTTCATTAAGTACTAAACCATAATCCTCCATCAATACAGAAAAACATAGTTATCAATACTAACATGCTTATGAAGAAAAACTATTTGAAGGACAAAAAAGTTCATTGTGTTTGTTAATTAGTAAGCATATGAAGGTGTATGCTTATTTTATTTATTTATTTAAATTTATATGGGTACTCCTCTTGTCACAGTGACTCTGGGTGGTGCACAAAATGTAATGGTAACCACAATATAAAACCTTAAAACATACAATGCTAAACATATAATTCAAAACAAAAACAGCAGCCAAGAGAAAAAGCAATATAATATCAACCCACCCCATAAGATATACACTATCCACAAAGCTCCTTAACCAAATTATTTGGAGACAAATCATTTTCACTCAAATAAGAACTAAAGTTCTTTTCTTGTGACAGTTGAGATGGCTTTAAGCCAATGCGTGCTGATGACTATGTGCATATTTAAATTTGGGTGAAGAATAAAAATGCTTTGAAGAGAAGGTTTATATATAAGGAAATAGGGTGCTTTAATGACCAAAACCATTCTGGACACTACCATGATTTCATTTATTTGTCTTCTCCTTGCCAATCTCCAACACTCTATCTAGGGAAGCTCTTGTTTTAAAGATCGAATATAGACACAACAGCCAACATAAATATATGGTCAACCACATAATTTACTAGGTTCATAGTGAAAGTTTATTGTTCTGTTTTCTAGTACAATAAACTACCAAGTTTGTACAGTATAAAATAACAATAGCCACAAAGCAACAATGCGAAGTAATGCTGACATTCTGTAAGAGTACAGCAGAGGAAATGGCTTCAGTACTGTCTTTCAATTCTACTGTACACATAAAAGCTAAGACTACTGCTTTTAACATTAAAAAAAAACTTTTTTCACATTTAGATGCAAGAGGATTTTATATAACTTGGGGGTCCTGGATATCACCAGTTAAAATGTCAAGGAACACAATGAAATAAAAGTTTCAAAAGAAAAGAATCACAAAGCTCTCTAGATGGGGAATGACATGTTCCATACCACCTTGTGAACTGCTCTCACCAAAGCAAACAGCCTGTAGAGGAAAAAAAAAAGGTTAGAGGACGAGCCAGTGTATGGGCCTAGGAAAAGTAATCATACTGCTGACAATAAACCAGTTTCCCCCCCAATTTTTGATTGTTTTGAACTGTACTATTCTATTTCCTCCAAACTTCACACAAAGTCTGAGATTAGACACCTGACATTAACCAAATGATTAAAATAATGTCCAGATTCATCCCTACGCATTCTTTAGCTCATTCTCAAAAACATACAAAATCACAGAAGGTTCAGCTCTAACCTTAAAAGTAGAAATCTTCCATTTGCCAAATGATTCAGATGTATTTGGTGCGATTGAGGGCTCTCTCAGCAAAATGACCACTTTCATCTGTGATTTTCTCCCAATCTGTTTGTCCCACAACAAAACCAATGGCCCTTTTTCTGTCTGCATCCTTTTTTTCTTCAAGGTCTGCCCACCTTACCTACAAAACAAAAACAAAAACAAAACACTGCTTGGATAACAGTCATTTCAGGAAAGAGAAGCAGCATGTATATTACCTTGATACAATTTTACCTTTGCAGAGATTTCAGACAATTTAGAAAAGGGATTAACCACCACTTCAGTTGAGCTTCCTAATGTATTTAGAGGTGAACAAAATGTAAGTCTTAGCCATGTTTCATTTTATAATTTCAAAAATCAATGCATAATTATTTCCAAGCAATTGAAGACTGTACTTAGAAGAGTATTTAAGAACATTCCTTTATCTTGCCCTCTTTTACAAACTTCCCTACATTGAAAAATGGATGAAAAATTGAATTCCACTTTTTCAAGGAAAAAGTTTCATTTTTATTTTTCAGAACTTGCTAATTTATATTGTAAATCCAGTTTTTACTGGACAAGGAGCTACTTATTCCTTTAGAGTTAGACGTGACAGTTCAACACACCTTTAGAATTCCTCTAACAAGCTCTGAGGATACTGGTTGAGTTCCTTCTTCAGAAGCACCAAATGTGCATCTTTTTCTGAATATGTGGGAATGTTGCTAATTTTTTATCATTGGAGTTTTTGATACTCCTACTTTGGTTACTGAAGTTCAATGCTGTTATATTCAGCTTTATTCTAGATAACTGATGTTACCAATATCATATAGTAAAGGGGATGCAGATAATATTCTAACCAGTCCACTATCCAAGTATATTCCAAGCATTAGGTATAAAAGTTCAATGGTTAGCTTGATTAACTGTCTACTTTCCTCCATCCATATTATTTATCTGTAAAAACTATATTAATTAGACTATAATGAAACTGAGAATGAAACACCGAAGTAATGAGGGGCAAAAAGATGTGTTAGTGAATCTTGTTCCACTGTTCTATTGACTTTGCAACCTAGAAAGTCTGTTGGCAGGATGGATAGTCAAAAGCAGGAGAATCTCATAAATACTTTTTTATTACAATCTAAACAATTTTTGCATACTCCTTGGTAAAAAGGTGAAAAACTATTCAGAAAAGAGATAATGAGGAAATAATGAGACCATTCTCAATTGTTGAGACAACAACATAATGCTCCCTTGTCTTGATCTAGTTGCATTTAGTTGACTATTTTGGACAGGAGAGGAATGTGTATTCTACTGAAAAATAAGGTAATGCTGATCAAGGGTGGTCAGCCTACAGTCACTTTTCATAACTCTTGGAATCCTCGCTAACCATAACTGCTGAATGGTTATTGCCATCTTAAGATAAGAAATACATAAAAACTGTAGTGTAAACCCCCAATAGGTGGTTCACTGTTAAAAAACAAATTGCCTTCCCAACTCCATCTATATGTGATATGACTCAATCTACTTTTAGCTCTCAACCCCATAAAATTTTTTAAGTACAGTGGTACCTCAGGATACGAACTTAATCCGTTCCGTGACTCTGGGCGTATCCCGAGTTGGTCGTAACCCG